GACCCATGGCCATCCCACTCGGGAACGGTGTGATTCAGCTGCTCCTCCAGACTCCAGCCACACCGTTGGCTCAGCTCAGCCACTCCGGGGCTGAAGCAGCGGTGCTCAGGGACGAACCCAAAGAAGACAACACCCACATATACTGGGGTGAAGGCAGCAGAAAGCAAACACAGGACAAAAAAGGTTTGCTTCTGGAACCTGTGAAATTCTCCAACGTGCTCTAAAATGTCATCTAGGGTTGGCATTTTGTCATCAAAACCACCTCAAAAACCTCAACTAGCTCCTCTCTGCAGCACTGATATATTTAGTTGGCAGCAAAGCTACTTAAGTAACAAAGACATTTGACCAAAAGTCAAGACTAACTCCATAAATTATTAAACTACATGTTGCAAGCTTTATTTTTTAGGTTTCATTTGAAATCAGACCTTAATTCACCCAGGCAAAATTTGCATTTAACCCCTAACAGAGCACTTATATGTTCCTTTTCTCCTGAAAAGCCCCTGAAAGCCACAGCCCTTTAGCGGCTTTTTTTGTTTGTTTTAATTAGGCTAGTCAGTTCCTCAAAGAATAAGCATTTTTAAGGAGCAAACAAAGACGGAAAATTCCACCAACATTCAAGCAACATACAAGTGTAGTGCAGAGTGACTGGGCACCACCACGTGAGCAAAGTTTATTAGCCAGGATCTGTAAAGAGTAGGTAAGTACACTGGGAAAAAGAAGTGTCTATACGTTGACCCATGTGGCAGTAAATGAACAGCTTTTCTGAAAACTCCAGCATTATGTCTCACCTTTTACTCTCCACAGTCTTCCATTTCCAAGGAATACTTCTCCCTGCCTACATCAGGGAACACAGTTGTCACCTCACCACATTTTTGCAGTGATACAGAAGAGAAAAAGCATTCACTACAGAATTATGCACTGGGGATAGCTGTGGGAAGCCATAATATACAATACTTATGGCCAAAACAGCTAATTTTATCACAGAAGACCTGTAAGACTTTAGGTAGACTTCACTGCAGGCACCCCAAATAAATAGTTATATTAGGCTCCAATATAGACACCAGCTACTCCTGTATCTTTTGCTGACAACAGAAGCTTCCATCGGAAAGAAAAGCGTAAGGTTAATATTCTCAAGACAGGGAAAAAAAAAAGTGAAAAATGGCCTGGAAATACATTGAAATAGCTTAGGCAACAATGAAAAGAAAATTTAAAGACCTCATCTCAATACACTCGAAGAAATAAACCAGCTTAGGTGGCCGTTCTGGCTGGGGATTGAAACAGAGCCTTGTCTCGTCTCATCAGCCACAGAGCAAGAGTGGCCTAACCAGCTGTGAAAGCTGCTTTGCAGACCAACCCTTTAATATCATTCCCTACATCACACAGATGTGCTTTCTCTTCTCCTACCTCATCCTCTTCTCTGTCAAGAACACCTAGAACAAGTTAGCAAGAACTCCTCTCCTGTGGCCACTCACAGCTGTTACCCCAAGCCCAGCACAGCACCACCCCAATACCAGACCTTCACCTCATGAGCTGCGGGAGCAGCTCCACGTGGAGCTGGGGAGGGGAACAGGGGCACAAAAGTGCACAGCAGTCACCACGCTCACAGCCTTCCTCAGCAGGAGGATGTGTGCAGTCACCTGGGGCCAAGGAAACTGAAGTCAAAGCCTGCCTGGGAAGCAGGTAAAGTTTAAAGACTGTTTAGGCTGTATCTTAAAAATACACCCCAAAATCCCCCACATCACTTCTTCCTTAGCAGTTTTGTTTAAACAGTTCGTAACAAAGTACGTAAGTTTCACATGGACTAAAAAAGTTAGATCCAGACTGGGCCCGTTTTCCCAGTTTCCCACCATCCTCTCAGTTCAAAGAGGGGCTAGGTGGCACTGTGTGCCTGGCAAGTGGATTTCTTAGAGACTCCCTTCACAAGGAGTCACACTGCTGACTGGTAAAGTTTCTGCTCCTGGCCCAGCCATTTGTACATACTCGTTTGGGCCCTGCTGTTCTCACAGCACTTCCCTCCCTATGGTTAAGTAGGGTATCCTACTAGGAAAATAATCTGGTGAAGCAAATCATGCATCCAGCTCTAAACAAGGTAATATTCAGTCAGTCTACCTACAGATGCCTAGATCCATTGAGAGAACCACTGCAATAACTGATAGTATTAAAAAATGCACCTTTAAGCCTCTCATTCTCCCCAAACTCACCTAATCCTAAATATGAAAAATGCTGCTTTTAATTTTGACAAGATGCAGCTTAAGCCAAACTGATTTACAGCTCCACTGGTAACAACACAAGAGAAAGAAAACCCAAGACCGATAAAAGAAAGAATAAACCATGGGGGCTTACCTATATATTCTGATTTTTGTCATCAAACATTGGTTCTCGTTTTGAGTGACATGACTGAGGAATCAGCTATCACAGCAAAAAGGATATCACCAGGATAGTAAGCACCATTACAGACCAGTGTTAAGAAGGATTCCAGAACTGAGGCGTGGGACTTGGAATACCCACTTCATAACTTTTATTGAAATTGCTGAATTCTTTATATTACACTATTTTGATTCAAAATGGAGTTTTTATAAAAAGAAGCCATTGCTGAAACTGAGTAAGCCAGCCAAAAGGAACAACAAAAAGTTTCAAGAAATTCTGACCGACGCACGTACTTCTACAATGCTTTGAAACCCTATTATTGTCCATAATTTTATTGAGGAAACACCTGGAGAAGAGCAAGACTGCTACAGGAAAATTGACCTGCATTCATTACCAGCAACACTTCAAATCAATGACCATGGCCAGGATTGTAGAACGAGAACAAGAAATTAGTCTATCAGAAAACATTGGCACAATTTCTTTTTCCTTGAATTTAATACCAGAGAGAGGTATTACGCAGACTAGGGCTCCTCTAGTTGTTAGGCTTTTCTTGGTGATGACCAACTGGGCAGTGCAGATTGTATTATAGGAATTCTGCCTCTACAGCCTTGAAAACTCTGGTGCTCAGTGAAGTCAGCCTAGTCCAGCCATAATCAAGGGGAAAGGAAAAAAAAAATCTTTGGGTGCTTGTCAGCTGCTTAGGCAAATACTGATGAAGTCAGTCATGTGACCAGTACCAAAAAAATATCATGCGAACAGCAGCAACCATTTCAGGCTAAAGCTATACAGAGTTGTACCTTTCAGTCCATACCTTTGAACCAATGATCTGTTTAAATTAGAATGGATATTCAAATTTACAAGATAAATTAGACCAGTTCCAAAATTTACATCAAATCATCCCAACGCACAAAAGTTATATTTTTCCTTGTCTTATGACGGGTGAACCCATAGAATAATACCCTGCCGGCAGGAAGAACATGTTACTATTAAGCAAACCTGAGTAGTGAGGATCAATAAATACAAGGAGTTAAAACAATAGTAGTCAGGTAACTTGAATCTCAGAAGCCAGGGGCTTCATTGAGCCTTAATTCTTTCCTTTCAAAGGTTTCTCTTTTTTAAGTGAGCATTTAACATCTATGCTGAGGCTTAAAAAAAAAAAGTGTCCTGGCTAGAGAGTCAACATAACTCAGATTTCTTGTCAGAAATCCAGTCATTACTGAACAGATCATTGTAAACAACCAAGAAATCTTTCTCTTCTTCCCTTTTTAATGGTTTCTCTTTAAAGGCAAAATTCAGAAATATCTTTCAGGCTGAAGTCCTCATATTTGGTTGGAAATGTTGTCCTGTTATATATAATCTCTCTATATATATTTGATTAGGCACAAGAGGGGTTATTAAATATTCAATAAGTCCTCATCACTATCATCATGAAACGATACTGTATTTGTAGAGTTCTGTGCCTGCTGCTGGCCTGGCTCGGCTTTTGCTTTCCTTTCCTTTCCACCGTTCAACAAATAAGCTTTGTTATCATTGCTAAGACTGGGTAGCTTCTTTTGTGGATGCTTGTTCTTGTCCAGTCGTCTTCCTGTCTGAATCCTTACATCTGGAATGGTTAAGACCTCATCCTCACTGTCCAGGTCATCCACATGGAGAGAGGTAAAGGCTTCAGATTTAACAGACTTGGTAGTAATGTGACCATTCTCCTGCCCTCCTTTTTCTGTTCTCTGATTTGGTGCTGCGACTTCCTCCATAAGCCACTCTGTTTCATTTTCATTAGCTTCTTCTTCACTGTTTATCTGCAAGGGAAAAAAGAATGCAAGATGAGACTGCATATTTACCCCTCCAGACTCTGCCACATGCTTATCGCCCCAGTTATCAGACCCCACATGGCCTTGGGTTTAATGTAGCCATAAGACAGTAACACTGCAAGAGCATTGCTTTTTACTATATTGAAACAGACTTCGCCCTCTTCTTGTACATTTGTGTCATTTTGTGATTTACAGACTGCTCTTCACTTCCTTAACTTTATCTTCCTCTCCCATTTCACAATATAAATGTATGTGTGTGTACATATATATTTATGTCAGCTATGTGGTTTTCCTGAAGCCACACAGTATGGTTTCCATGCACTGAATTAATGGGGTTAATTTTTTATTAACAAAAGCTTCATATTAGGAAAACTTGTCAAGAAACAAATTCTATTTTGTCACTGTATTTACCTTTGTGTATTTGTAGGAAACACCAGATGTTCTTCTGCAGCAGTTCGTTATCTTGTTTATTACAATTTCCCTAAAGAAAGGGAAGAATAGCACATTTGGAAGACTGTATCTGCTTATTAGCCCTCACTTTTCTTCACTGGATTTCTACAATCAACGTAAAGCACTTAAACAAGCAAGCTGAAAGTTATTGCACTGACCCTGAACCACTCTAACAAAATTCAGTCCATGATGACGTACATCTTCTCCCTTACCACAGCTTCAGGGTGACTATTCTGAAACATCTCTGGCCTTTATGCCTAAGGGAAAAAAACCAAAACCTGTCTGGAAAGCACAGGAACAGCAGAACTTGCACTTGTTCCTTGATGCTGTTGCATGGATCCAGCTTGACTCCATGAAAGGAGAGGGGTATCAAATACTAACAATATTGTCACATTGTTTTATCCTCCATAATTAGCAGCTGCCCACAATAGAGGCTAGCCCAACTCAATTGCATACTCCAGTCCTCTTTACATGGGCCTTCAGAGAGTAATGGAGAATTTGAAGGAACCAGCAGTTTGACAGTTGATGCTGCCAACTGAGAAAACATAACTCGAGTTTACTACTTCCCTTACACTTTTGGCAGGAAATAAAGTGCTGACAAAGAAACTTCTAAAGCCTCCTAATCATTTCTTACCTCCTCTCTTTTTTGTAGAACAGCAAGATTATTAGACACGCAGTGAGAACAACCAGGAGGACACTCAGCACAGCACCAACAGCCTGGCTT